CATAAAAATTAATATTTAAAACCCCCATTTTATTCTTTAAAAAACTGTTGCACTTTGCTTGTTCATAGATATATGTTAAAGAAATTTATTTATTTCATAAAAAGCTATCGATATTTCAATAAAAGAACACTCTTCAATACCTTGGCTGTAGCAGCAAACCTAAGTGTTCATTAAAATAATCTGATCAAGAAATAATTCTGACGATTTTAAGGGAATGTTTTAGTAAATATCGAGCCAGGTAAATTAAAATTTGCGTAGTCGCAGGTTTGCTGCGGTGGGATATGGAGATAATGCAATAGTGTACCTTAAGTAAAAAAAAAAACAAAAAAAAAACACTCTCCATATTACAACAATGATAGTATTGCAACGCCGCGCCAGCCCCACTTAGCTCACTGATTGAGTATGCATACTGCATTACATTGCCTAAATCTCGCAGGATTTTTATTAAAGTAAGTACTATTATACATAATTTTAAAGCTAATGAAAGCAGCTACAACTTTTGTTCCAAACATATTTTCATAAAACGTCAGCGAAAAAAGTTAAGGCGACAAAATTAAAATTATATGTTCAAAAACATATAAATCTTTACATTTTTATACAAATAACTAACAAACGGTAAGAGCTACGACGAAAGTCAACTGAACAGGATTGTAGGAAATTTGATAACAAAGACAATAAAACTAATTGCAATTCAATATTTGTCGTTTAACAATCGAAAAAAAACGTGATTTACGAAACCCTTACACTTTATATGTTTAGGGGGGCACAGGGGGGAAAGCAAGAGGGGTGGGGGCGGGGACTTTTGGCTGAACACTTGTCTAAATGGTAATAGTCGATGGGCAAAAAAATCAGCCTTTCACTAATTACTTCCGACACAATCCCTTTATTGACTGGGCTATAAAGGCAGCAAACATATACTTGTTTGTGAATAAATACGGTACTGTCAAGGTAGATTTAGTTTCGTGATTAACTTGCATAAAAAAGGATTCCCTGATTTGAATGTTAGACATTGCCTTCGTGAAATATAAAAAGGCAAATAAAGGCAAAGAAGGTGTGTTGAGGTATGCTTAGTTCTTGGCCAAAACAGCTAAATCAAAATAATAGTTTATACTCCTTTTGTAAAAGATTTAACAAAATTAGTGTGAAGTAAAGGTATCCCATTGGCCAAACCTAACCTGATCAACATAAAAAACTACAATTATTAGCCTAGTGTAAGATTATTAGGTGGTATTCCTCGTAAAGGTGCGACTGACTTGACACCACCAAATAAAGTTTGACACCACCATAAAATAAGTCTAATCATCAGCTGATTCCTAACTCATTTGCGATTGGACTGGTTTCATTACCCAGTTATCGAAACCAATTACGAAAATACTTTTCATCAGCATTTACATGCATTTTTTTGTTTGTTTAAAAAACGTAAAGAAACAGAAACTACATCTAGGTTTTACTGTTATATATGGATGTTATATACTATACCATACTTGCTAGGCTATATTATTTTAACCTTTTTTGCTTGGAACGTAAAGACAGTACCTGTTTCAAATCTCCAAACAATATTGTTTTTCCGCCCATGATTGGAACTTGTCATAGTACTCACTTAGTTAAGAAATTTATTTCCTGATCAAACCTATTTCATCTTTATTCCCAGGTTATTTTGTAAGAGTAGCCGTTGAGGTTATTTCACTTCATACCAAATATTGATTATATACAATAAATAAAAATTATATTATATACAATTATATACAAAAATTGTTATATAAAATAAATCTCGAAATTTAAAATGTTAGTTAATTTACAAAGAAGGTGTAAATTGAATAAATCTAGAACATGTGTTTTGAAATATAAACAAAGCAGAAGTTTTCCATCTTGAATCGTTAATTATTTAGTCAACGTGGTTATTTCATGTTAAACGTTAAAAATACACAAATTTGAAAAGTTTCACAGTAAAATAATTTACTTCAACATTCTATAACCCTAAAAAGTCTTAGTTAATATAGGTAACCTTAACCCTGGTTTTATATAGTATACAGTATGTTGCAGAATTGACTGGCAAATGGAGTGATCCAAATGTCATTTTGCATACTGGCTTGAAGATAAATCACGACCAAAAAAGTTTTGGAATTTCACTACCGTTATTTTTTCCGCCGTTACGGGATCGAGACCTTTAATTTGAGCCCTCTCCGGTCGTTCTACAACTTCCCAGTTGCCCACAATTTTGACGCAAAGAATCGGCTTACGTCATTAATATATAGTTGTGTCATAATTTAAAAAATCCGGTACAGCAGTAAAGCAGTATAAAAAATTCAGGCTAAGAATCATGAAACAGTCTTGTTCCCCGTCCGTGGGGCAGGACTAAAATTGAAGTTTAAATTTTGATTTTAAAATAGCCACCTAAGTAATCATTCTCTAATTGTTATGGAATATGCTCAGGTTCATTGTTAATAAGTATGTGCAATATTTGATATAATACTAAAATTTGAAGGCTTACTTTCAATGTCCTTTATTTTATTGTTATATTTAAAAGTTATTGCTAAAACTAGGCCTAATATTTGTAATTGTAATTTATAACATTATAGATTCCGTGCTTGCAATTATACAGGTAGTAATAACGTTTAGTTTTTGAAATCCGAATAGAATTAATAATAAATAAAAATAACAGTATTTTCTACCACTTGTAGCTACGGGCCACCAGTTCTGGTTACGATAATAATAATTCCCTGTGTTGGGAGGGAAACGCCACCGAGCGTCCTTACTCGATATAATGGGGGCGAAAAGCGACGAATTACCCACCCAGCCGAGGCGCGGGGATTTCTGAAGCGTCCGTCCGGGTGAAACACCATTTTGAGGGTGTCCGCGTCAAACACGTCCGGGCTAAACACGGAGCCGTCCTGGGGTAGGGTGATGGGAATTAGGCAGGGAGAACGGGGAGATTCCATTCAGTCCTAATGTCGCACCCTCGCATTATGCCACATGACTGCCCCAGAGGGCTCAGGCTGGCCCAGGTCAAATTCAGTCCTGTTGTCGCTTTACCGACTGTAGGCCTATTTGTAATTGTGGCCATATCTCAATCGTGGCGAGATTCGTGATGACTTCCGTATCGTGGCAACAGCCGTGATGATTCATTTCTTGTGATTGCGGTGACGTCCTGTATTCGTGATGGTTTGCTGCGGTCGCGATCTCCCACTTCGCAAAACGAGAGAGGCCGTTCGGTAAAGCATCTAGTAAATTTTTGAAGTTATTAAGAAAAACCATAGTCCGAGGGGTTCTCCTACGGGTTTAGTAGTTTAGTGCTTGGGTTTAGTGTATGTTATTAAAGTGCTATAAAATCTTTACAACTTAAGCTATATGTCATTTTGTGCTGTTTTTGTTAAATATATGTAAATACAATCTTGTAAATTTATTTGTAACTATTTATTTTTCACTAAGGCTACTTAAATGAGAGATATTCAATTATATAAAACATAAGTAGGAGCTGAAAAAAGGTATTATATTTGAAACTATTTGTATATTGTCACCTAAAAAAACGTTGCCTGTTAAGGCAGCCATAGTTACAATATATACTGCTTTACTGTTTTTCGATTAAAAGGTACTCACTATCAAAATGCTATATACTAATACTACCACCATTGAATACACTGTATAAGACTATGACTGTATTCAATATTGAATACAACACTATATTGGATATAAAACTCTAAAATAGTGTTATATATTTAATGCTAATTCGTAATGATTGTCATTCGAAAGTCTTTGGAAAATTACAAGAAAACATATGATTTGGTAAAATAAAACACGTTTTACTCCACTCGCACTGACGTCACTATGCACACACCTTCGACAATCATTACGAATTAGCATTGAATATATAACACCACGAATACTAGACAAATGTTTTTTTTTTCTAGTATTCGTGTATGACAATATTTAGCGATATATATATATATATATATAATTTATATATATATAATTTATATAATAAATATATATATATAATATTGCGTTTTATTCAACATTGAATATAATGTAGTAGTGTTATACAGTGTGGCAGTAGTCTAAAACATTTGATAGTAAGTACCATTTAATCGAAAAACAGTAAAGCAGTAAATACTTGATACGAGCCCTTGCTTAAATCCATCCGTGGGTTCGTCCTAACTCGCGTCGTGGGAACGAGGCTAGACGAGTGTGGTCACTGTCAAACTGTTCCATGGGCGTCGCACGTGAAAACGGAAAACCCAAACTCGCTGGTTACAGTTCGGCCAAAGTTTCTGTGCGCGCGACCAGATCTGGTAGGGTTTTTGGCGAGAGGGAGTACTTTTGTGAAAACATTTGTGTCTATAACTACTCACTCACTCACCCCTACCCCAACGCTGCAAATAACCGGTATCCGTAAGTTTTAGTTGGGCTAGCGACCTGTCCGCGCGCACAGAAGTTTTGGCCGAACTGTACAAGTGTGGCCCCGGTCTAACAGACAATACATTTTTTTGGTAACCATTTATAAATAGTTTTTACTATAATACTGTACCTTTTTTGCAGCTCTTACATTTTATGTTTGATATCATTAAAACGCTCTGATTTAATCAAAGCCTTAGCAGAAAATAAATACTTAAAATAAATTGACTTTTATTTACAACAAGATATGTGTTTAATTTTTTTTACACAAAATTTATATTCAAACTCCAAACCAAAACTATTTTCACTCTCGAACTATTTTTTCACTGCCCCAGCACCAATCTTGCAGAGATTACTTCAAGAAGTATAACTTTTGTTAAGAAGTATAAACTAATAAACAGTTTAACTTTCCCCAGTTTATATATCCTGCAAACGTTAACTTTTGGCAAACAAAATTTGTATACTGTAAGACGATGAAAATGGGTTAGAAAAGAAAATGATTGCCTATTGACAATCACAAAGATCATTGTGGTCTCATGGGTAAAAAAGTCTCAAGCCACCGCATCGGCAATAAGACAAAAAATAGGTACTAGAGGTTAGAGGTTATGTTTTCCATGATGACCAGACACCAGACCTAGACCAGACCATTACATTTTTTACATTTTACATTTTACATTTTTTTTTTACATTATACATAAACCAACCCAACCCAAAACCCAACACTCTTTTGAATGAATGAAGTACGATGGAACCTAATGATAACAGCACTTTATTTAGGCCTAAAATAAAATCAGTTATCGCTAAAAATAGTGGGATGAAACCTCTTATAGGTAAGAGAGATTGTTTTTTTTTCTTTGAACAATGTTTTGCTCTTATATAGCAATTGTGAAGATTCCTATGCTAAGTTATATTATAACTCAGTTGTTATTTTACTTTATCATGTAAGTAAGGGGGTGGCAACGGCCTATCTCGCCTATGTTATAATTGCCTTTCAGGTTAGAGGCTACATCTTCAAAACTGAAGGCTATGATTATCAACCCTGTATATGAGTAAACAGACCCATTTTCAATGAAGTAACTTATTAGCATATTTTATTTTTTTTATATACAGCCTATGTTAGGTAAGTTTAGCCTAGGTTAGATTTAAAAAATTATATATTTCACAAAACAAATCTTTATTTTCAAACCTAGCAATGTGACAGTAAGTTAATACGATTGGGCATTTTTCTGGTGGGATGAGGTTAAAATGCTTTATTGGTGTGAACCTGGCAATAACTAGTGCACGCGCCCGCTAAAATCTATTGCTGGCCGTTTTGCGGAAAAATACGGCCACGAAACATATTACTGATAATGTCAACAGATAGAAGACACTTTAACGGACACGACAGTATCAACATCATGTAACTGGGGAGTAAGTTAAGGGGGGTAAGCTCAACAATAAGTAGTGTGCGCGCCCGATAAAATCTATTGCCGGCCGTATTGCGGAAAAATACGTCCGCGAGCAATAATAACGACGATGCCAACAGATAGAGGACACTTCAACGGACACGACAGTATCAACATTATGTACCTGGGGAGTAATTTAGGGGGGGTAAAACCAGCAATAAGTAGTGCACGCGCCCGATAAAACCTATTGCTGGCCGTATTGCGGAAAAATACGTCCGCGAGCAATAATAACGATGATGCCAAAAGATAGAGGACGCTTCAACGGACACGACAGTATCAACATCAAGTAAAAAATACTTATTGCAGTTATACTCAAGCTTTGCGTTTGCAATAAGGGAGGACACAGTTTGATAAAATTCGCTTTTTTAAATTTACAGTATTCTATAGTATTACACATGGGTGAGGTTCATTTGTCCGAGTTATCAACTGTCCGAGTTTGTTAAAAATTACAAAATATTTGAAAAATCAGTTGTCCGAGTTTTGATAAATAACTAATAATAATTAGATAAATCAACTGTCCGAGTTTTCATTTGTCCGAGTTTATTAAATTATTTTAAAAAATATCGAAATATCAAGTGTCCAAGTTTTCAACTGTCCGAGTACGGTTTAAAAATAATAATAATATTTGGTTAAATCAACTGTCCGAGTTTTCATTTGTCCGAGTTTTTAAATTATTTAAAAAAATATCGAAATATCAACTGTCCGAGTTTTCAACTGTCCGAGTAGGGTCAACATCAAATGTGACACTGCGCGCCGAGACTAGCGTGTCTAAGGCGCCTCGTCAGAAGCCGATGTAAACCTCTTCTGCGAAGGAGTCAGGCATTGTGCGAGCCGCGAGAGCCCCTCACGTCGACTTAAGGAAAATTATATTACTTTTATTATAAGACTAATTTTACAATTTTAATTATAAAATTAAACTGTTATCACCTAACACAACCAACCAAACTAGCTGATAAGTGATGACAGTTTAATTTTACAATAAAAAATTGTAAAATTAGTCTTATAATAAAAATAATATAAAAAGTCAACGTGAGGGGCTCTTGCGGCTCGCACAATGCCTGACTCCTTCGCAGAAGAGGTTTACATCGGCTTCTGACGAGGCGCCTTAGACACGCTAGTCTCGGTGCGCAGTGTCACATTCGATGTTGACCCTACTCGGACAGTTGAAAACTCGGACAGTTGATATTTCGATATTTTTTTAAATAATTTAAAAACTCGGACAAATGAAAACTCGGACAGTTGATTTAACCAAATATTATTATTATTTAAACCATACTCGGACAGTTGAAAACTCGGACACTTGATATTTTGATATTTTTTAAAATAATTTAATAAACTCGGACAAATGAAAACTCGGACAAATGATGTGATCCCTTACACATCTACCATAGCCATAATGTTCGACCACTTCACTTAAACAATAGAGAAAAATAAATAATCCACAATTCGCAAAATATCACAAATTATTCATGAAATGTAAAACATAAACATAACTGTAAACAATCCTACTTTGACAGTTCTCATTGCAAATCACAGTTTTTTGTTGCGCTTAGTTCAAATTAGCTGTTTTCATAAATGCAAAAAAAATATAGGGCTGCACCCTGTTGGTAAATCTTATAACTTTTTAATACTTTTCCATATCATAGAACCAACTTTTTTAGTTGAAACAGCTGACTAAATTCTTTAATTCCCTTTAAATATGAATAAGTTTACTCATAAGGTTAACATGGGGAATTACAGAGCCACTGGGGCGGAGCCCGAAAGGATTTTTGAGATAAGAATATGCCTACATGTTAATCGGGAATGTAAGCTATCATCATGCCAAATTTCAGCCCAATCCGTCCAGTGGTTTATACGTGATTGAACTTCAAACACACAAACAAACAAATACACAAACTTTCACATTTATAATATTAGTAAGATACAGGGTGTCCCACGAGAGGTGTCTCAATTTAATTACGAAAAAACGGCTTAACGTATAAGGATGAAAAAAAAAATATTTTCCCGCTAAATCGACCCCAAGGAATAACATAAAAATATTTTAAACTTTTTTCCAATATAGGGTGTGCCAAAAACTGAGGGTCACTAGTTCGAATATCGGAATTTTCAAATTTAACACTTTTATATCATGTTATACAACATTTTAAAGGTATTTAATAGACAAACATTTTGGCGAAAACAGAAATTAATTATCTTTTCCTGTTTCAAAATGGCGGCAGTTTTATGAAAAAAATCTACATTTTTTAATACTCTTTGTTTCCTATACCAATGCATTTGGCCCTTCTCCGGTTGAATTTTCTTACTCGTTATGAAATTAGCTTTACTGTGAATTGCAACAAGTAACGGTTTTTTGAAATAATAAAAATTCCAAAAAAATTTATTTTTAAAAATTTTCAAATGCTCATTGTTAAAAAATTTCAAATACTGTAGCAACATATATATATATATACTAGCTGACCCGGCGAACTTCGTATCGCCTAAGTTATAGGGGTACTTCAGTATTAAACGGAGGCCACATTTTGTCAGCGCGCTGCGGCGGTTATGTTAGGTTGGGTTATCATAATAGAAAGTATCGTTCGATTCATAACGAAGCGAGGAAAGTCCTACACACATAATATTTACGATAACCCAACCTAACATAACCGCCGCAGCGCGCTGACAAAATGTGGCCTCCGTTTAATACTGAAGTACCGTTATAGGTTTCCCCTAAGACAGACCGATGGAAAGAAAGTACCGTTACGTTTAATTTCCAAGATGATCTCGTTCGCATCGCTCAATCACGTCCTGGTTGAAGTTCGTTCGCTACGCTCACTCACCTTTGGGTTGGAGCTCGTTCGCTACGCTCACTCACCTTTAGGTTGGCTTTAGGTTGGAGCTCGTTCGCTGCGCTCACTTGCCTTCAGGTTAGCTCGTTTGCTACTTCGCATCGCTCAATCACGTCCTGGTTGAAGTTCGTTCGCTACGCTCACTCACCTTTGGGTTGGAGCTCGTTCGCTACGCTCACTCACCTTTAGGTTGGAGCTCGTTCGCTGCGCTCACTTGCCTTCAGGTTAGCTCGTCCGCTACGCTAACTCGCCTCCAGGTTGAAGTTCGTTCGCTACGCTCACTCACCTTTTGGTTGCAAATTAGCTGTTGTCATAAATGTAAAAGAAATAGTAGTGCTGCACCCTGTTGGTAATCCTTGTAACTTTAATTCTATTGAACATCATAGAACAGAACCAACTTGTTTAATTGAAACAGCTGTTAAGATTCATTAATTCCATTTCTCATAAGGTTAACATGGGAAACTCCAGAGCCACTGGGGCGGAGCCCTTTTAAGAATTTCGAAACGGGAAATAGTTTACGTCCGATTCGCATACCTACAGAATTTACACACCAAATTTCATAACGATCGGTGAAGTCGTTCCGGAGCAGTTTGCAGACAAACACTGTGACACGAGAATTTTATATATTAGATATATAATACGTGAAGCCGTTTTTTGTTAAGGCAACTCCTCCCTTATTTGTGGACCAATTTCAACGTTTAAGGTGTCAAAAGATTCGTCTCAATATGTAGTTTTGCAATAAGGTTTTACAATTTTAAAATTCCTACTCTTAAGGGCGTGAGACCCTCTCAAAGGTCGGGTTTTCCCCATAAGAAATTCACAGAACAAATTTAAAAACAAAAAACAGCTGTTAATGAAAAGAAACTCATTAGCTTTTTGGGAGTAAATATTATTGTTTGTAATATTCAGTAGGTTAAGGCCAAGTTAAACAGTTTATCAGTTTTGTTGGAAGAACAGAAAATGCCTCATGTTCAAAGAAGAAACATTGAAAACGGGAGGAGGAGACAATTAATAATAAGATATCTTATGTGTATGAGGAGAGTAGAAAAAGAGAGGCCTGGTCTAACAGATACCCATCCAGATACAAATTCACTTGGTGAGATGAACAATATTTGACAGTTATGCTATGCAACTTACTTTGGAAGTGGAAAAATATACGAAGCACATAGTGTTTTCACGTTGGTAAAGTAAACTTGGCTAATCACAGATCAAATGAATGCATGCAAGAATTGTTTACTTCTGACACTTACAGATCGAGAAATTTCAAAACATTTAGTAGAAACTATAATAATGAATTGACTATGATAAGTTCAAGGAGTAAGATTATACCAAATCTTTGCGGACCTTATGTTTTTATTGTAAACTTTCTGTATTACTCAAGTCTACTTCAATTGAGAATAACGCAAATGGATGGTTTACTTCTAGGTGTGTTGCCCGTATCTCTGACAGACTTATATACCAAATTATTTTTGGACTGAATTCACCAACACAATCCAGACATTTCAGGTCAAAAATCAGAAGTTTCAAAAACTTAGTGGCAATATTAGATCAAACATAAGT